CTCCAACTTTGCAAATCCTAATATTTGCATAAGTGATAGGTCAGGTGCGAAAATGGACAATATCGGTCTACTCCATCAAGTACCTCTCCCACAAACGTTCAAAATTTGGAATAATTATAACTCTAATAAAATGTGATTGTCTTCAAATTACACTCATCACAATATGTTTATCAGCCGAAGGTTTGGTGTGAAGATGGAATATATCGGTCCACTTCTTCAGGTACCTCTCCCAAAAGGGGTCAATATTTTGAGTATTCATGAAGCTGATAAAATATGAAATTAACATCCGAATACATTCAGACTTGGCGCATCTTAATATTTCCATCAACCCAAGACCTACTATAAAGATGGTATAGATCGGACCATTCCTACTGGTACCTCTCCCACAATGGGTCAAAGTTTCGAATAACCAAAATGATCATAAAATCCGAAATATGCATTCTGTTCTCTTCAAATTACACTCATCAGAATATTTTTATTAACCCAAGGTCTGGTGTAAAATTTATATATATCGGTCTACTCTTTCTGGTACCTCACCCTCAAAAGGGTCAATTTTTGAATATTCATGAAGCTCATAAAACACGAACTTAAAATCTGATTCCATTCAGCCTTGACACATCTTAATATTTCCATCAACACAAGACCTACTATAAAGATGGTATAGTTCGGACCATTCGCATAAAATTGGATATAAATGTTCAAATCCTTCAAATTTTTCACATATCAATATTTTTAGATTTTTTACATAAAGTATGAAAAATGAGTAATTCGGTCTACCGATACCATGAAAAATGAGTAATTCGGTCTACCGATTACCTCACGCAAATTTCCAAATTTTCCAAAACAAATGCACATATCTAGAGTATAGGAAGTAGTTGATATAGTCCAAATCCGACACGTTGTAATATTTATATAAGACATACGTCCGATACGAATTGACCCTCCCCACCCCGGAAACTCCCCCATAAAGGGTTAACAATTAGAATAGTCTGGGGGTATACATCTGTCGGCAAATCCGATTGATGCTACATCAACAAGCAAAAACGCTTAATTGGCAGCACTTTGTAATTGACAATTCACTATCCTCTCTCTCACTTTAGTGCACACCATCCTCTTTTGATCCATGTTTGCTTTGGGGACAGCCGTTAATTTTCTGTTACATTAAAGCAGTGTTGCCTACACATAAAAATATTGTTATCGATAAAAAACGCTCTTTCGGTTTACATAAAATACATATGACCCGATAAAAAAAAAAAAAAATACACAAATATATTTTAATCCCAAAATTGCGTCTTTTGTTAATATCTTTTTTCGGACAATAGAAATTTATACAATTGGTGTTCTTTTTTATCATCAAACAGAAAAAAACAAGCAAAATAAAATAAAACTTTAATCATTATTTACCAATTAACTGATAACACAATAAATGCATCGATTGGCTTTTTTTCTAATTATCATAACATGTATTATGATAATAAATATTTATAGATAGCTATCCAATTGCAAGGGAAATTCAGTTTAAAACAATTAAATATTCCCAGAGAAGAATAGACTTTAATAAAAAAAAAAAAACAACAGCTCTGGACAAACAAGTTTTAAAACAATAACAAAATTCAAATGAAATTATATCCATTTAGTTCTAAACAAAAATCATATCAAGAATGTTTACGGCTAAAAACAAAAGCAAACCTCCCTTCACCCTTTTTTCTAAAAAAACTTGCATGAGTAATTGTGACAAGTTTAGAATTCATGGTATCATATAAACACATGTTGATATCTGTGAAACTAGATTCTTGAAATATTTAAATTACATAATTTGTCATTTGTAATAAAAGACATAAGACTTCAGATGTATGTAATCTGATATGCATATAACTATTAAAAACAATTACAATGTAAGATATTCATTATAACTGGTACACAGGTAATTTAAATTCCAATTAAAAAAAACTAAATTTGTAAAACACTCAAAGTAGATATTACATTTTTCTTTATTCATGTGGAGTCAGCAAATATTATTTATGGGTCATAATATTAAAATATACCATACCATAAAAATTGCTGACAGACAGACAAAGGGAGAACAAAAGTTTGTACATTCCCCAAAAAAAAATTTCAATTTAAAGAAATATATTTGTGGTTGTGGTTATGACTATTTTGCATCAAGATAAACCAGTAAAAAAGAAGCTTAGTTCGGCCGAACTTTTAATACCCTCCACCACTTGAAAAGTACATTTGAAACATTTCAAAAAATTCCAAAATCTACCAATTAAATGAAAACTGTTATATGGGGACTATGGGTCATAATGCAGTACCCATTAAGAACTTTAAATACGAAATTTAAAACAATTCCGTTGAATAATGTCGCAAAAATCATGAAAATACAGAGTATCGGGAGGTACCGTCATATGGGGACTATACGAAGATGTGGACCGGCATACGAAATTTTTTCCATAGGTTGTAGTACCCATTAAGATGTGAAAAATGTCGTTAAGATCATCAACTGGGGACTGGCTATACGAAGACGTGGATCTGCATACGAAATTTTTTGCCCTATCTTGTAGTACCCATTAAGATTTTCTAATACCAAATTCGAAACAATTCCGCTGAAAAATGTCGCTAAAATCATCAAAATATCAACTATCGGGAGGTGCCGTTATATGGGTACCTGCACAGACAGTTTTCTGTCATAGGCTGTAGTATCCATTAGAAACTTCAAATACCAAATTTGAAACCATTCCAACGAATAATGTCGCTAAAATCATCAAAATCCCGAATATCGGGAGGTGCTGTTATATGGGGGCTATACGAAGACGTGGACCTGCATACAAACATTTTTGTCATAGGCTGTAGTACCCATTATGAACTTCAAACACGAAATTTGAAACAATTCCGCCGAATAATGTCGCTAAAATCATCAAAATATCGACTATCGGGAGGTACCGTCATATGGGGGCTCTACGAAGACGTGGACCTGCACATGCAATTTTCTGTCTCAGGCTGTAGTATCCATTACGAACTTCAAATACCAAATTTGAAACCATTCCGGGAGGAGAGAGGTGCCGTTTTATGGGGGCTATACGAAGACGTGGTCCTGCACAGGCAATTTTCTGTCTTAGGCTGTAGAGTCCATTACAAACTTCAAATACCAAATTTGAAACCATTCCGGCGCATAATGTCGCTTAAATCAGCAAAATACCGAAAATAGGAAGGAACCATTATATGGGGGCTATACGAAAACGTGGACCTACATGGACCATTTTCAATACCAAAAGTCCTGCAGACATAATATACATTTGAGTAAAATTTTATCACCCTACTTCATTCGTTCGGAAGCTAGGCTGATTTTCACAGACGGTCGAACATCACTAAATCGACGTAGAATTTTATGCTGATCAAGAAGATATATACTTTGTGGGGTCTAGAATGTATATTTCGATGTGTTACAAACGGAATGACAACCTTATATATCCTCCATACTATGATGGAGGGTAGTAGGAAGAACAAACAATCAATACATAATCCCGATTTGCGGCTCTCGTTGACATTGTTTAATAGGTATGAAAAATACAAATAACAAGGATCTCTATGTTTCCGATGGAAAAAACGCTAAGTTGGCAACACTTGGCATGATAAAAGTTTGAAATTCCCTCAGGAATTTAAAGCTTTGTTCCAGTTTGTTTTTTTAATTCAAAAACCTCATAAAAGAGTGAAGAAAAACAATTGTGGGCAGAAAATACGAAAACGAAAATCTAATAAAAATATCGAATATCACTGCACTTCGAATCGCTTTCGACTTCGACTTGAAAGGAAAAGGGCATTGTCAATGTTATTGCGTTGCATAGAAAATTCCATTTTGCATTATTGTCCACATTTATCATCAAAGTGCCCGATAATATTCTGATTAAAAAATTGAATACCTCTTTATACTCTACACCACCTGGTGGTCAGGGTATTATGTCTGTGTGCATTTGTAAAAGGCAAAAGGAAGCGAGATTGACCCCTGGTTCTTTTTGATGATCTGCATAGAATCACATATATCTTCATCCGATTTCGTGCTAATTGTGCACCAAATTGCCAATATCTGTCCAAATGACCTGAATTTTGGCACATCCAACCGAATTCCGTCTAGAAGCAAGTACATTAAACTTGATGAAAATCGGTTCAGATAAAGCTATAGCTCACATATATATGTTTCATCCTCATGAAAACGTCTCCGTCAAATTTAGTGAAAATCGATTCAGAATTGGATATGCCTTCCATATTTTAGTTCCCTCTGAAACCAAACTATAATTGCTCTAAAGCCAAATGTTGATAGGTGGTAAGATTTACTTCAAATAAATTCTTTGTTATGGGAGCTCTACTTAAAATGCCTTGTGGTGTAGGGTATCATAAAATCGACCCCGTCCAACTTTTGACTATTCCTTACTGGTTGCTTTTTACATCGTAACTTTGTACCAATTTAAAATTTTAATTTTCTTTCAAAATAGCTAGGAATTTAAGGAAAAAGCACGAACGTTTTTAAATAAACAGAGATAAAAATAAGCAAAACAAAAATGGCATGTGTCATCAAGCGCATCACATGTAAATCTGTCAAAAGCTGGCTAGCTGAGAGACAGACGCCAAAGTATTTTAGTTTCCTTTCTAACAAAACAAAAAAACGCTCAAACAAAAAATTCATTAATGTTATTGTAACCGAAAAAAAAAAATCAAAATTTAATGCCAAATTTAGGAAGAAAAAAAATTGAATGTTGACAAACATCTGCTACACGCTCTCAAAACTGTCTTCTTTTTGTTGTTTTTTTTTCTGGTTTTCAATTTTTTTTGTTTGTTACGAATCATTTGCAAAAGATCAACAGGTATTTCCTTTTTGGTAATAAATTTGATTCAGCTGTTGTTTGTGGTAATCTCTCTCATTCCTTCATTCCGTTTCTCTCTCTCTCTCAAGGTAATAGATTTCCATTTTTTTGTTTTGTAGATTTAAAATTAAGTATAGTTACCAAACGAAAAATGTTGCCATTTAATTTATGAATATTGATGGATAATAAACCAAGATATTGATCGGCCAAACGTCAACTGGAATTGGAAGGGTTTTTGCCGCCGCCACCACCAATTGGCCAATTGGTTGTTATCTCACGCACGCACGCACACACCCAGAGTGCTCTTCTTGTTTAAATGATGTAAATTTCCCGCTTTGCTTTTGTTTGCAAGATCTAGCAATTATTCTTGTTTTTATTTCTCTTTTGTTGTAAACAAATTGGATTTTGTTGTTTAAACACTAAAAGATAGCAAAAAGAAACAAGAAATCACGAACTAACAAAAACACAAACACGCACACACCTCTTATTACACATATAAAACGAAATGTAATAACCGCGTGAAAATCAATGTTTTTCTTTTCTTTTTTTCGGCCACCGAAACGTTGAGGAAGTAAATAACACAAAAAGCGTAACCAGCAGAAGAACAGCTGTCAGCACTTTACATGAATAGAGTTTGCTTTAAATTTCCTTTTCAACAATTTACAAATGCTTTTCTTTTTTATCGTAAATCCACGACGAGAGATGACACTAACAGGCCGTCGACCATAGCCACACGATAACTGAGACGACGAAATTGTTACACGACGACCACAGATGGTTGGTTGGTTGTTTAAATCGCAATGGGAAAATAACAATTGCCAATAGACGAGTCGGATGGTTATAGCGCGCAGCTGCAGTAACGAAAATTTTCTGTTTTTAACACGTAGACGGCCAAAACAAGAATGAGTACTAAATGTGAAAATAATAAATTCATATATGCGGCCAGAAAGAAAGAAATTTGCACAACAACAAAAAGAAAAAACATCCAAACATACATACGTATATCTGTTGGCAGGTCAAAAACTCATCTCTCTTCAGCTCTCTTGGTTATTGTGTTTTTTTGCTACTCAAAACAAGTGCTCTCAAGAGGCTTCCTCCTCCTTTAGTTGGCAAATTTGTTTTATTGTTGAGATAGGAAGAGAGTAGTGTGCCATGGGCTTCGTTATCTGGCTTGTCAGTCAGTCAGTTCGTATAATTGCGTGCGAGAAATGTTAACACAAATACACGAACACTCTCAACATCGTAATCATCATCATTGTTGTAGTTGACGACGTCGTCGTCGTCGTTGATGTGAAGCAAAATAAAGATGTATCAACCGCATTATTATGTTGTTATGACGGTAATGACATTTTCAGTCAAAGTTTATGGTAGAGTGAATACAACCAAAGCGTTTGGCGTCAAACGTCATTGGTTTAAAAGAAGTTATTTGTTATTTTAATATGGAGTGGGTACATATATAAACTTTGTTTATTCCACTGCAGTGAAAGAAGTCATAGCAGTTAGTTAAACAACTGAGGCAGGATAGAAGGTATGCACTTTGAAATCCAAGAGATCCACGATTTCCTATAGCGCACATCCTGGTCACATTTACCCACGAAATTGTTTCGAATTTGGTATTTAAGAAGATTTATTTTTATCGTTGAAGTATAAAATTGTTTATAGAGGTTTCAGTTTTTAGTATGGCCATAACCCATTATACCTTACCATTTTATGTTTTTTTAAGTTGAACAGCATTATCCAAACGGTCTTACTGGTAAATTCAAATACTTTTATTTACCCAAAGATGGAGAGTATTAAAAGTTCGGCTCAGTTGAACTTTATATTTTTTTAATTATTTTTGAATGCAACGAACCTGCGATTTTTTCTAATTGAAAATCCTTCATACAGAGAGAAGTCATTGACCCCTCGCGTTTAAGGAAATTGTTGTCTTTCTTTTCAAGCTAATGTGGAAGAGCAAACAAGCTTTTGAGGTTTAGCCAAGAATGGTCTAGACATGTGTTCGAGGTAACAAAGGGATGCAAAGGAATCCACCTCGTGTCTGTTGCAAATATTTAATTGGCACTATTATTTGGCAACATAACGGCAAGCAAAAACAAAAAAACAAGAAAAAAACAATACTGAACTCATCAATTGTTAAGAAGGCATCACTTTCTCCGCTATATTAAGAGAGGCTGTATATTGGCAACCATTGCATATGTCATTTAAAAATTTATTGAGATTGACTATGGTAGAAATAAAATATGTTCACTAGGCTGCAAAATATTGATAATGTTTACAAAACGTGGTAAGATGGCAATTCTCCAACAACCACAAGTATTTTTATCAATTTTTTTTTAAACTTGTCCACTTAGTTAATAAGCCTACTATCATATGTAAAAAATCGCCAAGTAAGCATTACTTACAAGAGAGAGAGAGAGGGAGAGAGAGAGAACGAATGATGCTTAAGACCGGTGTTGCCACTAAGAAAACTACAAACTATACAAATATTACGCAAAAATTATTACGGAGGATACAAATATTACGCAAAAATGGGCATATATAATTTTTTTTAAATAAAATTCCCATTAATTCCAAGAAATATTAAAAAAATATGATTAGTACCCAAAAATTATATTTTTTTACATTTTTTTCCCAAGTGACGAGATCGTAATCTCAATAGAAGAGGAACCAAAGAATTAAATAAAACTAAAGTTCTTTTGGAAATCTCCTATAAAATGTGATGAAAGTTTCCGATTGTCTTCAAATTACACACATCTCAATATTTTCATTAATCCAAGGTCTGGTGTTAAGATGGAATGGAGACTCAAAATTTTGAATATTCATGAAGCTCATAAAACTCGAAATTAACATGCAGGCTTGGTACATCTCAATATTTCTATCAACACAAGATCTCTTATAAAGATGGTAGGGATCGGACCATTCATTCTGGTACCTCCTCCTCATAGGATTTTTGAAAAAAAAAAAAAAAAACAAAACGCTATTCAAAATTCACATGTCCAAATATTTTTGCTAACTCAAGATCTGTTGTGAAGATAATATATCCCTGTCAACCCCTTCAGGTACCTTAACCATAAAAGGGTTACAATTTCCAATCCTTATATCTGTCATAACTTTAGAAACAAGTCGGCGATTCCTTACAACTTGCTATATCTAAATAATTCTCTCAACCAGAAACCTGCGATATATATGGAATTTATCGGAATTTGATTTCGCATAAAATTGGATATAAGATTTCGATTTCCTTCAAATTTTGCACATACCAATATTTTTTTATCTGTATTAGATGAAGTATGAAAACGAAACACTTCGGTTAGTTATATCTGTTACCTCACGTATATTTCATATAAAGTATAGGAAGTAGTCGATATAGTACAAATCTGGTCAATATTGACCAACTGCTTCGGAGTCTCCCACAAAAAGGGTTAACAGTTTGAATAATCATAAGTCAAGGCTGGGGATATACATACATCCGTCGGCAAGACCGACTGATACTATTTGACTTGTTCCTATTTTATATATAGCTTCAGCAAGTTAAAAACTCAATATATGCGGAAATCAAAAATCGCCAAAAAGTACCACAAAAACGCTAAATTGTCATCACTGAGTATATATTGCCGAAAATAACGGATCGAAGAGAGGAGTGAAAGAGAGACGGTTAAGAAGTAAACACAGCAGTTATTATGGTATGTGAAGATGAGTAGAGTTGCCAAACACGTCCAACTGTTCTCAATGGGAATTTAATTAGACTGCGACAAAAGAGACTACCGTTATTTGTTGAAGATGTTTAACAGGTATAACTGAAAAAGAAATAAACAAATATAATCCCCGATTGCTTTTGACGTTTTTGTAAACAAATCTCATCGAAGAAAAAAGAAACAAAACAGGTTAAAATATTCTCAGAAGCATCCAAAAACTTGTTTTATCGTTTGGAAAAATTTGGTTGGTGCTAATTTTAATGACCAAATATATTTGGCATTTTACACATGATTGGAGATTTTTAATGAAATGGACGAAGGGTGGAATTAGAGAAGTAACAATACAAAATGATGCTACCTAGGTTCACCAATGTCATTAAAAATGGAAAATTAAGAAGAAAAGGTATTCATTGCCTTCAAAGAAAAAAAGAAAGAAAAACACTGAAGCATGCTTTTAGGCAAAAAAAATCATTGCAACTAAATTACCTTTATAGAAATTATTGGGTCCTGCGGCGTTAAGGTTTTAGCTGTCAAAGACAAGCTACGAACACATAAATACAGCGACAGTGATGCCAGCCAAAATGGTTGCGATATACTTTTTTTGACAAAACGAAACTCAACTATCACTCATTCTAAATGGCCCATCGGAATCAAGAACAACTATATTTTTTTATATGGAAAATGCCAGCAGCCATGTTAAACATGATGTTAGTATTTTATTATCCCATACCGCAAGTAATTTCAATTACAATGGATATAATAATATGATGGCACTTACACTTTTGTGGCATCCTAAAACAAATGTGGCAGTCGTCGGTCTTTCAGTTCGCAAAATAAAATTAATTAAAATGTTAAGTTCGATTGATTGCGATTATATGGTTGTAACACAGCGCCAGTAATTGAAGTAATGAACCGAAGGAATTTGAAAACGATTAATAAATAAATAATCTCAGAGATTTTATATGGCTTATCTGGCAATATCAATACAGAGAGTGGCAGAAAAAGGTATGTAGTTAAAAAAAATTATAAAAATTTCTAAATCCAATTAGCTCTATTGAGGACTTGAGGTGAGTGCAATTTCTATTAAATTCACCATATCTAATTACTTTATTTTTACGCCTACTGTACAATAAATATTTGCCCACACACATACTCTGACGAGTGCATCTACACCTAGAACACAACACACCCTCCAAATGTAAATGCGTATTTTTAACTGGCCGCCACCGCCACCGTGCAATCTGCAAAGCATCATACGATTTTGCTGCTGCAGCCGCCGTTTGTTGTTTGATTAGAAATTTGTTAACATCGTTTACAGAAATACTTCCATGAGTCGATGACGCGCAGCAGCAAATAATATAGATGGACAGACAGGCTCATTCATTCAAGTGCTCTTGATTAGAAATGCATTTCGTTGCAAAAAGAAATTTCAGACAGGTACAGTGGTTTCATAATGCGGGAAGAATAAATCAAAAAACAATACAGGTTATACAACATTTAACTTATTGCTTAATTAATATTTATCGTTAGATAAAGAAATTGTCTATAGCAAAATAATTATCGGTAACCAATATAGAAAACCAAATCATTTATCGGTTACCGATAAACAAAATTTTCTATAGAAAACTTATTTATCGGTTACCGACAAACAAAATTTTCTATATAAAATCATTTATCGGTTACCGATAAACAAAATTTTTTATAGAAAATCATTTATCGGTTTAAGTATAAACGAAATTTTCTATAGAAAATTTATTTATCGGTTACCGATAAACGAAATTTTCTATAGAAAATCATTTATCGATAACTGAAATTTTCTATAGAAAATAATTTATCGATAACTGAAATTTTCTGTCGAAAGACATTTATCGGTTACCGATTAAAGAAATTTTCTATAGAAAATCATTTATCGGTTACCGATTAAAGAAATTTTCTATAGAAAATCATTTATCGGTTACCGATTAAAGAAATTTTCCATAGAAAATCATTTATCGGTTACCGATTAAAGAAATTTTCTTTAGAAAATCATTTATCGGTTACCAATAAACAAAATTTTCTATAGAAAATCATTTATCGATTACCGATGAACGAAATTTCCTGTAGAAAATCATTTATCGTTCACTGATAAACGAAATTTTCTATAGAAAATCATTTATCGATAAACGAAATTTTCTATAGAAAATCATTTATCGATAAACGAAATTTTCTATAG